CCCGCACCACGCTCAGCCAGTGAGCAGGAACTGGTCTCCACATGGGATCCGAACCCTTGGCAGGAGCGCCACCGCGCTCCCTAGTGGCACACTCTCCAGTGCGCCACCGGGCCGGCCCAAGTGTTGGTCTTTAAGAAAAGCATGATGATGAAGTGGTACTAGCTTATCTGATACTAGCATATCACATAAGTATAGGAACTTATGTGAGATAGTGTTCCCCAAAGAGATGATTAAGCACCTCCTCTATGATGGCATTTAATCCTGTTCTCTATAAAGCAATTTCCATGAAACCCCGTGTGCTGGTAGTGTCACAATTTCTAGAGGATTTCATCTCTTGGTGATTTGTAATAATCTCATCAGGAGTATCCTGGGAAGGTCTATCTATTGATAGATTGTTCTCTTTCATCTCAGTCTCACCAAATGATTAAAGCTTCTCACATTTAAGGACAATATCATGTTTTTGTTAAAGATGCCAAACTGACATAGCTTTGATTAGTCCAAGTCCTGATAGTGATAATTCCTTCTGTTGTTCTTTACCTATTTGTATTTCACAGAAGTCTTCTTGAATTTAAGTATTAATATTTGATTGTCCTTAACTTTCTCATGAGGGCCTTGAGAGTATATTTTCACCCTTCAAAGTCATAACATTACTATAAATCTTATACATCTTGTGATTGAGTGACAAATTATCCATATTAATCATGTGCCATCTTAACCGTGAATTTGTTTCTCAGTACAAATCATACTGAGTTGTATAGGTTTTAAATTCTTGTGGCCATGAGCAGTTCTCAGCATCAGTATATTTTTCCCAAATAGGCTAGCCAAGAAAGTTAATAAATACATTAGACTTTAATTCTGAGTTTCTGTCTTGGTGAACTGACCCAATGTTAACCTCAGGAATCATTCCTCCTTCCATTCTGTTCCCCTTTTATCACTACCGAACTTCCTTTTTATGTTTATTGTAGATATCCTTCTCATTTACTAGGGAAAGACTTTTGAAAAGTTCTTATACACTTCATCCCAAATCCGAGTTTATGGTGAATCCCTAAAAAGAATACAAAAGTATCCAAAACTCCTTTTGCATAAGACTGGACTTAACATAAAAATCTCATCATTCTTTTTTCACTATTATTTAAAGAATCAAGGTCAAGGATTCAAATCGCCTTAAAGGCCAGCCACCAAAACCAAAAAAAAAAAAAAAAAAAGAATCGCAGATCTATCTAGCTTATATGAGTGCTTCTCAGTAATTCTAGAAATCTGAATGTTAGGTATATAAGATAGCCTGGGTCTAAATTGCTCAAGGTTATGTTATTAAGTAAAATTATTGTAGTACTATATGTAAAGGAAAAAATAATTTCTTTCTTTTTATCTTCCGATATAGGGAATGAGAAGCCTGGACAGTTTCCCTTTCTTTTTTTTTTTTTTTTTTTTGTCTTTTGTCTTTTTCCGTGTCCGGCAACGGATCGCAACCCTCAGTGTTGCCCCCGTACCGGACCGCCGGCAACGGGATTGCAACCCTTGGTGTTGCTCCCGTGCCTTGCTCAGCCAGTGAGCGGGAACCGGTCTGTATGTGGGATCTGAACCCTCGGGCGGGAGCGCCGCTGCGCTTCCCAAGCGGCGCACTTATCCAGTGCGCCACCAGGCCGGCCCCAGTTTCCCTTTCTAATCTATTCTACTTCCTAAATCTTTTGTTCATTTCTATCTGGTAATTGCTATTTTCAGAACTTGAATATGCTTTCAGTAATTTGAGGACATTTATTAAATAATAAATCAGGAATGTGGAAGGGTGAACTTAGGACTAAGAGACCATAGGAAATAACTGGCATGCATGTTATTATGCATGTTGAATGTTTAAAAAGGACCGGTAAACATGAGAAAAACTTCAACTTCACTAATAATCAAAGTTCCAAATTAAAACAAGATACTATATAGTGCCTATCAAATAATCAAATATAGCATACAATGTGGATGAGGATGTGAAGAAAAGGACCCTTATTTACTGCTGATGGAAGCCTTTCTGAAGGATAATTTGCAGAGTGCTGACAGGATGTATATATCCTTTGACCTAGCAATTCCACTTTGAAGAATTTGTCCTAAGGAATAAGGATTCATTAGTTTATAATTTCTGAACACCTAAACTCCAGACTTTAGGGATAAAACAATGAAAAGACAGGATCTCTGCTCCCTCACAGCTTATATTCTAGAGCCGTGCTGTCCTGTATGGCAACCATGAGCTACATTTGGCTATTGAGTTCTTGAAACAGGGCTAGTGTGACTGAAGAATTGAATTTTTAATTTTAATTAATTTAAATTGTCACATGTGGCTAGTGTACCATGTTGGAATGTGCAGTTCTAGAGTTCTCAAAGTGTGGTGTCTAGACCAGCAGCTTCAGCAGCACCTGGAAAGTTACAAATGCACATCTTGGCCTCACCCCAGATGTAGTGAACCAGAAGCTCTAGGGTGGGACTTGGCCTTGTGTTTAACAGTACCCTAGGTGATGCTGATGTATGCAAAAGCTTGAGAACGTCTGTTCTAAAGGCAGTTCATGACAGCATTGTTATGGTATCAAATAACTGGAAGCCATCTAAATGTTCTCCCGTGAGATATTTGTTAAGTAAATTATTATACATTCATACAGTGCTATGCTATGTACCCCGATAGTTTTATTTTTTGATTGCTATGGAAATTTGTTCATGATATATTAAGAAAAAAGTATGTATATATAAACACACATTCTGCTTATATATATAAGCAGAAAAAAAGTCAAGTAGTAAATAACAAATGTTAGGGGATAAAATTACAGATGATTTTAATTTTCAGGGCAATGAGATTGACAAGTGATTTAATATTCTTTATGAAACTATATTTTTTAAGTTTTTTACAACAAAAGTTAATTTTAAATAAACAAGAGACATTTACAATTATTAGGGTTTCTTTTTTTCAATCATTTAAGTATTTTTGCCTCTGGGAGAATTCATTTTTCTTGGGGTTCAATTTTCTGTGTCCCATGAAAACTTGTCATGTGATATTCATTTGTTTTTCATTTCCTACTTTTTACTCTATCTTTTAGTGATTTAGTAAACATTGTATTTGTATGACTTTTATACTTTCAATTCTCTATGTAGCCTGGAGTAGGAACGAAAATTGCTGAAAAGATTGATGAGTTTTTAGCGACTGGGAAATTGCGTAAATTGGAAAAGGTAAAATTTTAACTTATTTGTTTACTTATTTGATTATAGTGTCTGCCTTATGGCAACTATTATTTAGCATTATTGCTAAATAAAAAATAAATATTGGTGATTGATGTCACTCTAGTGAGACTCAAAAAGAGATGAGCAGAGTTTATGGCTTTATTCTATTTAGAAAAATTTGAATATTGTTTCTATAAAATGTTCCCTTATTTTATGTGGCATTTAAGAGACTGTGAGCATCTATAATGGAGTTAGCTCCATTTTCAGTACCATTCAGAAAAGAGATTATAAACTTTGACTGAAAGATTGTTATCTTTTAAAATTTCTATGCTTAAACTCTCCCAAATATTTTTATGGTTTTATTTCACCCTAATGATAGTAATTATATCATTTCTGGTCTTGTTAAATAGGCCCTTTTAAAAATTTGGATAAACTAGAGATCATTAGCACTGTTAGTTGCCTGTAAGCAACTGGCTTCTATATGAACATTCCTGTGTGTTACCCATGCGTATGTGCGTAAACGGCTCTTTATGTCTCTCAGCATATTGCTGTATTTCCATTTTTAAAAATTTGGATAAACTAGAGATCATTAGCACTGTTAGTTGCCTGTAAGCAACTGGCTTCTATATGAACATTCCTGTGCGTTACCCATGCGTATGTGCGTAAACGGCTCTTTATGTCTCTCAGCATATTGCTGTATTTCCAGTAAGATTGTTTGAGTACTCAAAACATTCCTAAATTATCATTAGACTTTGTTTTTCTTAAAGATTCGGCAGGATGATACGAGTTCATCCATCAATTTCCTGACTCGAGTTAGTGGCATTGGGTAAGAACTATTTTTTAAGCAGACACAGTAGTAGGTTGATTTTATTTTTCAGGTCAGCCAACTAAATTACGTGCTGTTTTTCTTCAGAATCTGTACTTTTCCACCTCTGTGCTTTAGCCCATATGATTCACCCTTCCATAGCTTATGTGTCTGAGGCCAGATCTTCAGATACTGCCTCTACTGTAAAACCCCATCCAAGGCAGTTGTCAGCTCCTTCATGAAACCAGTTGGATTCCCCAGCCAGAAATAATCTCTCCTTTCTCTTACCTCTACTACACTTGCTCTGTGTGCTTGTTATTGCCTGCCGCAGATTCTGCCTCTTTTGTTTCTCTGAGCATGATATTTATTCTAAGCATTCACGCTTTTTTTCATAGCACCTTATGAATCTGGAGCAAGCACTCAAACTTTTTTTTTTTTTTTTTTTTTTTTTTTTTTTTTTTTTTTTCTGGGATGTAAGTGGGTAAAGACCAGCACTCTTATTTGTCTTACTCCTGCCGTATTTTCAGCACTTAGGAAAGTATCTGGCACATAACGGGCTCTCAGTAAATCCTAGTTGAATGAGTGAACAGTTTTCAAGTGCCCATATGACTATACATGGGCATTATGACAGCTAGCTGCTTAGACTTCTTTTTCATGTCCAAGTCTATGGCTGTCTTCCTAATGATTGAAACTTCAAGAATTCTTGCTTTGGATAAAATTGAACATTACCAAGTAACCATGTAACATTTTAGCCAGTCTTGTTTAGCTCTTTTTAGCAGACTTTTGTTTGACAAGACATATTTATAGTTGCTTATTTGTTACAAGGATCCTGAATTTTACCTGATCTTGATATAATGCTTTTCTTTCTTATAGTCCGTCTGCTGCGAGGAAGTTTGTAGATGAAGGAATTAAAACATTAGAAGGTGAGTATGACAATAGGTAACTAAATTCAGGTTAAATATGGTCCTAAAGGACTGTTAATACTACTCTAACAAACATCGTTCTTGACTGGCTGGTTAGCTCAGTTGGTTAGAGCGTAGTGGTGTAACACCAAAACCAAAATCAAGGGTTTGGATCCCCATACCAGCCAGGTGAAAAAAGAAAAAACAGAAAAGAAAAGAAAAACCTATTATCAATCTGTAGATACAGATGATAAGATTTTCTTTTTAACTCTGCAGTAGAGAATAGATATAGGATATAGTTTATATTCCCATCTTAAATATTTTTAGGTTTGTAACAGAAAGAAAATCAAGAAGAGTTAAGAAGTGACTTCTTAGTTTAAAGGGAATGAAATAGTTACCATTTGCGGATTTTTAGAAGATTTAAATTACTTTTATTTCTTTAATAAAACTTTAGACAACAAAGTCTTACACATCATATTAAAAGCTAAGATATATTGAGAAAGATTTTGTAAGATATTTGCAGTGCTTATTGAAAGAATTTTTGCTTTCCAAGAAATGATAAAAATAGAGCCTAAGTCAAGTAATTATAATGTTTTCCTTAAACCTATAATATATCAATCCTTTAAGTATAATTCATCTCTTCATACTTTTCAAGGGCACATGCTTTAATATGAATTCATTACAGTACATCTGTGGCGTTCGGATTTAGTATTTGTGAGTTTTCAACTATTTGCAAGCAACCCATATGGTTAGGTGGACAGGTTTTGGAGACTGATTTGCGTTTGAATCCCTCCTCCACTGCTCTTCGGAAGGGTGGCCTCAGTTTCTCAGCTGCAAAATGGGTATTTCTGCCTCATACAATTTAATGCAATAATGTATGTAAAGCACTTAGCAGAATGTTTGGTATATAAGAAGTACTTAAAAATGGCAACTGATTCTTATGAGGCATAATTAATTAGTAATATTACCAAGTTAAGTGTTTGTGTCATTCACATAGCAAGAGAATGAACTTTACATGTGCATTTCAGAGGGAGTTTGTGCTTTTCTGCTTGTGGCATATACAGTTTATCTGAGTGAAACGATTGGCTAAAGAGCTCAAGAATTTGTGGGTTTCTCAAAGGTATTTGGTTGCACCTCTTGGTAATGTCAGGGATATACTGTTCTGGTTTTTATATTATTTCACAATTCACAGATGTGTAATATAGCTATTGTTGTCTGTCTATACATGTCTATAAAACAAACAATATTTCCATTTCATTTTTAGTTATATACTTTAGTGTTTTCAGAGTGCACACAACTATGGGAAATATTAAGTGCTCCATGTATCATAAAGATGTTTATTTTTCTCCATTTTTATCTCTAGAGGGAATTTATACATTTGTAAATATGAGGGTGATTATGCGATTTGCTTTTGAAGCATACTCGTACTTTCCTTGCTGTTTCTTTAACAAGGCTTGCTATTGTGTTCATGCCTAGTAAAGGAGCACCCAAATGGAGCCAAGTCACTTTTAGACTTAAGACAGGATGTCATGACAGTTTTTTTTTAAATTAAAAAATGAAAATATCTCTTCTTGGCCTTTTGGCTAAGATCAAGTGTAAAAAATGAAGATAAAACAGGATTTTTAGCACAATGCGTACAAAAATCGGTACTCAGTACTGATTAAAGGAAGGAGTGAATAAACAAAAGACCATTAATGAAGCAGTTAATTGTAAAACATTCAGAACTGTGGTGACTACTGTTGCTACTAACAGTAAATTAAACAATATTGGTTCTTGTAAGATTGCTTTTTGTAATTGCCAGTGAAATTTGTACAGTCTACTATGTTTTATCTTGGATTGTTTCATGTAACTGAAATTGCAATTTTGATTTAATAAATAAAAATGATCATGAAATCAACTGTTAGGTTCACTACATTGAAGCGTCACTTTTTTTTTTTGAAGAGTCACTGTAATCTAGTTCTTAATATCTGAAATTTTTTCTGACTTTTGTGTTTTTAAAGTCATTTCAATAAATTTTTCCCCAGGTAGTTCTTTGTAAAAAGGGTCATTGAGTTTAGCATTTTTTCCAAAAAGTATTTAACACTTCAATTTTATTTATTTTCTTTACAGATCTCAGAAAAAATGAAGATAAATTGAACCATCATCAGCGAATTGGGCTGAAGTAAGACAGCAAGTGTTCTTTTGACCCTTGAGATACAAAAGTAAAAAAATTTTTTTTTTGGACCGGTAAGGGGATCGCAACCCTCGGCATAGTGTGGTCTGCACCACACTCAGCCAGTGAACGCACCGGCCATCCCTATATAGGATCCAAACCTGTGGCCTCGGTGCTACCAGCGCCGCACTCTATTTTTTTTTTGGACCGGTAAGGGGATCGCAACCCTCGGCATAGTGTGGTCTGCACCACACTCAGCCAGTGAATGCACCGGCCATCCCTATATAGGATCCAAACCTGTGGCCTCGGTGCTACCAGCGCCGCACTCTCCCGAGTGAGCCACGGGGCTGGCCCTAAAAATTTTTATTAACATTCTTTCACACACAATAACTCTTTATACTTAGTTTAATGCAACCATTTTTCTATTCAGAAATGCTAAGATTTATTGCAGATTCTTGTAGAGTATATGCCTCTGTTTACATGTTTTATTATTGCTTTCTAATTTGTTTACTTGTTTTGAGGATTTCCCTCATTCTCTTGGCTTTAGCAGGGAACTTACTCTTAAAATACATACAACTGAGTGTATCAGGCAGTGATGCTTATGTTGTACAGAGCTCTGCACTAGGTCTAGGGTAAGGATATATAGTAGGTTCTGTGTAGCTGTTAAGGAGTTTATAGTCTACCTGAGAAGATAGGACATGAAAATGAAAAACCAAGTTTAAAAAAAGGAAAAACCGCAAACACCTAAATAACAGTATAGAAATAACTAGTAGGCATGTTTCTATATCAGCATCAATAACTATTTTGTGTGGCAGATATAATCTGGGAACACTCATTTCTAAAAATTGATTATTTACAATTACAGTGCATAGCACTATGTATATCCACTCTGGTATTATATAGTCTTGTTGGTGATTCAGTTCTAATAACCTTCTGAACTTTTTATGTTGATGCCTTACCATAAAGTTTTTGAAGCTATACTACCATTCCAAAATTTTGAGCCAGAAAGAGACCAGGATGGTGTGGTTCTTACTTCCCTTGTATTTGCATAGTAAATAGGGGTCTTCGACGAACCTGGTTGTTGTGAGAATTGGCTTTGAACAGGCACTTCATTCTTAGACATATGCTTACGCATTATTTCTTACTGAGATATTTTCATAATAGCCTTATTGAGATATAATTCATACACCATAGAATTTACTCATTTAAAGTGTACAATTCGATGTCTTTTAGTATATTCACAGAGTTGTAGAAACATCACTACAGTCAGTTTTAGGACATTTTTTGTTATCCCAAAAAGAACTTTGTACCTATCAGCAGTCATTCTCCATTTCCTCCCAATGCCTTCCCCCCACCCCACCTTCCTCAGCCCTAGACAACCACTAATCTACTTTCTGTCTCTACAGATTTGCCTGTTCTGAACATTTCATGTAAATGAAATTGCACATACATGGTCTTTTGTGACTGGCTCCTTTTACTTAGCATATTGTTGATTAGGTTCATCCATGTGTTAGGATAATATTTTAAAATATGATAATTTTGCAGGATTTAAGAGCAGCAAACTATAACCCCTTGACTTGCCAGTAAAGAGCAATCTCCTTTGAAAACATGCACTAACTTAAATATATTTATTTACTCTTTTTACATGAATATGAAGCTTATTTACAGATAAGTTTAGATGGAGTCTCTGGAATATTACAAAGGATAACACTTAAGGATTTTGATCTAATAACTCCCTCCCCTCTCCACCCTCCCGCAAATTTTGCTATTGTCTTTTCAACGAATTTTAGTCTTGATTTTTGAGAATGTTCTGCTGGTATGAGGACACTTGTTATGGTAGGCAATTTAATTTTTAAGGAGATTTTTTAAAAAAAATTTTTTTTTTGGTGGCTGGCCAATGAGGAGATTTAAATTTTACAAAAATATTTTGTCTACTTATTCTGTCTTTATAGATATTTTGAGGACTTTGAGAAAAGAATTCCTCGTGAAGAGATGTTACAAATGCAAGTAAGAGTGTGCTGAATTTTATTTTTTTATTAGAATTGAGAATGTCACTTGGTGAAAGCCATTTTTGGAATACTGACTTAATTTTTCTTTTATTAGGATATTGTACTAAATGAAGTTAAAAAAGTAGATTCTGAATACATTGCTACGGTCTGTGGCAGTTTCAGAAGAGGTAACATGCTTCCTAATCTTGGGTTATTCATGCCTTGATGTTAAAATTGCCTAATGTAAATGAAAAACTTAGATTTAACAGACATAGTTTGTGTTACCTTTTAGACTTACTAAGACCCAGTAGTATTAGCTAAGTTTATTTGTTTATAGATAAGAATATGTATTCATAGCTAGGGGAAATTCATCCTGATTTGATTATAAGATGATACTTTAATGACTAGTTTAGCAAAATTTTAAAATGATTTTAGGCATGTTAAAATGCTAATAATGGTTGTATTGGGCTAGATGCTAGTGAAGCTGTGGGTAGTTTTGTTTACTTACTCTTTATTTTCCAAGTTTTCTATAATGGACCTAGGAATAATGTCTCAGAAGCATCAGTTCAAAACCAATTATTACGACAATCAGGTTCTTTAGAAGATCTCCACTAACTATACAAATACAGGGAAAGTGAGAGCCACACAATCCTGTTCTCTTACTGGCTGAAAATATTAACTTTTAAAATTAGAATAGGAAAACTTTATTTAAAACTTTTTAGAATAGGCACCTAGACTGAATCTCTGGCCACCTACGGAGTTTTGCCTGGGAAATGGGTGATGTGCTATTAGAAATACTCCAGGTAGCTTATTTAAGAAGCTAGAGTTGAGGAGAGCGAAGAACTAAATTCATGATTGCTGATAAGTAGAAAGAACATTTGATTGGGGTCAAAAGTCCTGGGTGCTGAGGCCAAATCTACTACCATCATATGATTTCAGGTAAATCTGTCTTCCTTTTGCAAAATGAGAGGATTGGAGTTAACCAGTTGTTCAAGTATGTCTGCATCAGAAATACCCAGGAAGTTTTAAAAATATACACACGTTGTTGTACCCTGCCACAAACCTTTAAATAAGAATCTTCTTAGGTGGGAACTTACATTCTGTACTTTTGAAATGTAGACTTTGATGCACAGCAAGTCAAATACATGCTGTGTTGAATGTGACAACCTTCCTGGATTTGTATATTTCTATTTTGTTTTTACTTTTATTATAAGTATGTCACATGGTTACATGCTTTAATATAAAAAAAAGTACACACTAAGAAATCTCACTTCCAACCTGACCCTGATTATCCTATCCACTCCCCCCCACTGTCGCATTAGTAACTACTTTCTTGTGTACCCCTTCAGTGTTTCTACATGACAGTACAACTTAGTACGAGTACACATTCTTGATTTCCCCATCCCCCTCCCTTTCTTTCCCAGGGTAACGTAACATGTACACAATATTCTACCTTTCTTTTTTCACTTAAAAATATATTCTGGAGCTCTTTCCATATCAGGTAACTTTCTTATTCTTTTTTATAGCTGTGTAACATTCCATGTGTATGCACCATACTTTACTTATCCAGTCTCCTATTAATGGATGCTTGGGTTTTTTCTCTTTTTTTGCTCACTTAGTTTTTTTTGTTTGTTTCTTAAGTAGATTAAACACTTTTGGTACTTTGTAACACCAAGGTCAAGGGTGGTGAAAGACATCCAGCTTTCAGGAAAAAGAAATGAGAAGAAGAGAAGATAATAGGATTTTCTTTGTTTAAATAGCTTCCATGGATGTCCTGAGATCAGTTGACATTCAGTATAGTCTTCTTTACATTTAAATATCTGATAAAAAATTATTGACGTATAGGATGATGATCCAAAGACACTGCAAGATCTCCAGTCACCAAAAGTATGTTTGGCATATACTGTACTTATGAAAATGAAGAGAGGAGAGAGACAGGATTATTTTGTGCTGTGTACCAGGCACCATAGTAGGTACTTTTACGTATGTTTTTAATTAGTTGTATAATAGTCTATGAAGCAGTTTTTAGTAGATTACAGACAAGAAAACTAGGTCTAGAGGAATGTAGAGTCCTCGCTGGCAATACAAGAGGAAAAAAAAGACATTTAAAATGAAAAAAATAAGTATATAGTAAAAGAAAGATTTAAATAGCTATATATAACTTGCCTGAAGTTGTAAAGTATAGATCAAAACCAAAACTCAAGTCACTATAAAGTGCTTTATTTTTATCTATAATCTGTAATAGTAATTTTTACCAATATTTATTCAATGAGTTCAATCATAAGAATTGAAGTGAGTTTTCTGTTAATCTTTACAGAGTTAGCATATATTGTTTGAGATTTTTAGATATATAGTTGTTCATAGGTATATTTTAAGTTATTTTTAAATGTTGTTTTTATTTATTATTGAGTAGTTACTTAGGTGCATTTTTAACACATTAAATTAACTAGTTATATGCAATGTATATATCTAATGCCAATTACTGTTGTTATCCCAGATACTTCTGTCTACATCAATATACCTGAATAGCTGGACAGAAAATTGCAATCTTTTAACTAACTGAATATGAAGCACGGTGAAATAGAAAGTTAGGCTGTAAGAAGTAAGGCTCTTCTGTGTGTGTTATCAGCTTGGTTGTGTTTGCCTAATGGATATGTTTCTGTGAGAACTTCCCACATGTCCTTTGTCCTCACAGGCGCGGCGTCTAGTGGCGACATGGACGTTCTTCTGACCCATCCAAGCTTTACCTCGGAATCAACCAAACAGGTATCTCAGAATTGATAACCAAACGTGGTCAGGTCAGTCTTATGCAGCAGGGGATATGCCATTTTCTAATGATAGGTGGGTATTTTCATAATAAGTTTTAATCTTTCTAAAAAGTCAGCCGAAGTGTTTTGTGCTGATTGAATTCTGTGAACGGCAAAGTAAGTTGTTGAAGGAAAGGGATACATAATGTTTTTCCTCCAGGAATTGGGAGGACAGTCTAACATTTGAAAGAGATAAATTTAATAAAATATTTCCAGAATTATTTACTGTCCATCATAGATATTTTAGAAATACTCAGTATAAGATTCAGGTTTTCATTGAAGGAATGTTTTTCTATTAAAAAATAAAGTATTGAGGAACCTTACTTCTATTAGAAAACCCATGAAGGCAAAACATTTTTGATGTTACTATATATATATACCTTTTAAAGACGAAGCAGCTAACTCTTTGATTTAATGAATCATATAAATACACATGATATTTGTTTTAGGATAAGGGTGAAAAACAGTGGTTTCTAAAAGTATGTTTCATTTGATAAGATGAATTTTCTGTTAGAGGGGAAAAGTAGTTACTCAGAACATTAATGAAAAAGAGGAGGAGGATTTCTCCATAGATAATCAGAAAATTCATGTTAAGAATGTTTTCTTGTCATAACAGAGAAATTGCTCTTTTTCTTATTTCCTAATTATGATTCTACAGCCAAAGCTGTTACATCAGGTTGTGGAGCAGTTACAAAAGGTCCATTTTATTACAGATACTCTATCAAAGGGTGAAACAAAGTTCATGGTGAGTATCTGTTTAACACATCTAAAAAAACCTTGGAGAGTGTTCAGTAGCCATTCTGAGTGTGGGACTTCACTGTAGCTTTGTATTACAGTCAACAAATAGCATACCCATGAGACCTTAGAGAAAAATAATTAATGGGATGCCTGATTCTCATAGCTGCTCTCAGAATATTTTAAAGAACTTTCTTTTTTCTTTTTTTTGGCAGCTGCCCAGTTTGGGGGATTTGAACCCTTGACCTTGGTGTTACAACACCGTGTTTTAACTATCTGAGCTAACCTGCCAGCCCAAGAACTTTTTAAAAATTTCCTTGTTTATAGATAATCTATACCATTGGAATAAATAATCAGGCATAATCTGCCTTTTATTTATTTATTTATTTATATTTTTGTCCTTTTTTTTTTGAGACCGGCTGGACCACACTCAGCCAGTGAGCGCTGTGAGCGCACCGGTCATCCCTATACAGGATCCGAACCCGCGGCGGGAGCGCTGCTGTGCTCCCAACGCTGCACTCTCCCGAGTGTGCCATGGGCTCGGCCCATAATCTGCTTTTTAAAAATGTTCATAATGGGCCGGCCTGGTGGCGCACTGCTACAGTGCGCCGCTTGGGAGCGTGGCAGCGCTCCCGCAAAAGGAAAAAAAAAAAATGTTCATAATGACTTTGACACACAGTAAGTTTTTCCCTAAAATAGCAACATGAGGACAAATAGAAGTCTAGGATCAGCATTCTTGTTTCTTTCTTGGGTTTATCTTTATTCTTCTGGTTACTTTCCATGCCCTTCTTTTTTTTATATATATTTTTTTATTTTTAAAAAATTTTTATTGAATCATAATTGATTATACATATTTTTGAGGTTCAACGTTGACATATGTTGATCAAATCAATATTACTAGCATATATATTGTTACAAATTGTATGCACGCCCTTCTTTCCCCAAGATATATGTCTGAAAGGGAAGAGACTGTGTTTTCACACAGTGAACATACAAAAATTAGTAAGAGTCTCAATGCAGAGACTTGACAGGAGTTTTAGCCAAAAGTAGAAGATGGTTGAAAAAGATAATTAAAATATCATGTCATTTAGAAAGCATAATGGTGGTTGCCCAGGCCTGAGGGAAGGAGAATGGGAAGGAGAATTAAACACTAGTTTAATAGGGACAGAGTTTCAGTAGAGGAAGATGAAAACGTGGAGATGGATGGTGGTGATGGTTGCACAACATGTGAGTACACTTATGCCACATTACAATTAAAAATAAGTAAAATTAAAATATATAACTACACTCTACATTTCCCATATTAAAAATAATAATAATAATGCCACAGAGTTGTACACTTACAAATGATCAAGGTGGGAAATGTTATGTTATGTATATTTAACCACGCACACATACTTACAGTCACGTCATTAAGTTCAGCAGGTTGATTTTAATTGGCTGTGAAAGTGTATTGCCTCAATTGGTTGAACTTGAACAATGTTTTCAAAAGAACGTTGGGAAAGATAAAAATAAAAGTTCTAGTTAGTTTTAGGGAATTAAATCTATGATTTGTTCTCTTGAATCTGTCAGGTCTTGAGGTCTTACTCTGTTCCCCAAAGTATATACATGAGATGGTATTTAAAATAGGATTTGTATATGCCCAATGGACATTTTTTAAAAATTTAATTCACTGAAAATGAACGTGAATGAATCTTACATTTAAGGAACATTCAGTCAGATAAAATCCTAAAAACAATATATGCTAGACACGTTGGATTTTTGCATAGTAGAAAAGTGTCTTCATATGCCTGGGCATATTCTGGGGACCCCTCTGGCCTAAATCTCTATGAAAGTCATTGGAACTCCTTACTGGAGAAGTGTATTAACTGTTTTCATATTTAGTGACCAGGAAGGTGTTTACAGTACAATACAATACAGTGCAATACAATAGCAGAAGCTTTTTTTTCATAGTTGTAAGTGTTCTGCGTGCTCAAAGAGAGATCCAGAGGTAAAACCAACAGAGGCTATAGTAATCCAGCTAGCAATAATATAAGGAAAAATTATAAGCTAATGGCTGTTACAACCTCAGAAGGAAAGTTGGGTAGCCAAGTATGTATGAATGCAAAGAGTTGTCAATAGTGGTGAGATTAATTTATCCTAGTAGCTGTTCAATCAAAGAAAGAGAAGTCCTTTGCCTAGGAAGTGCATGGGCAGCCAAATCCCAGTGACTGCTGGAGGTTAGGCCAGTTCAGACCTTACTGTGTGTGTGATGCGTGAAAGACTAAGGCCACTTGCCCATCCTGGGACAGAGCTGGGGTTGTGGAATACTTTGCCCTCTGTTGCCTTCCCATTCTCCTAGTCGTGTATCTGGCAGCAGATCTACATGTATTACCAGAAAAGGAATCCCTGAGACCTATTTCCAGAAGGAAACAGGTTAAAAAATAAGAGAGCAGGTTTGTTTGTTTTTAAGGTATAGAGATTCAGATGACAACAAGAGCAAAAAACTAAGCCTTTATATTGTGACATAGGAATCCATCTTTGTTGGTGGTTTTTGATAAAGTTTGGATATTATATGGGCCGGCCCGGTGGCGCACTGCTACAGTGTGCTGCTTGGGAGCGCGGCGGCGCTCCCGCCGAGGGTTCAGATCCCACATACAGGCCGGTTCCCGCTCACTGGCTGAGCGAGGTGCGGGTGCAACACCGAGGGTTGCGATCCCGTTGCCGGTCCCGGTCCGGTACGGGCGCGACACTGAGGGTTGCGATCCGTTGCCGGACACAAAAAAAGACAAAAAGGAAAAAAAAAAAAAAGTTTGGATATTATACATGTGGTTCACAGTCCCTGAAGCTTAAAAAATGCCATGTTAAGCCTGCTGTTTTGACATTTGTACTCAATATTTTATTTGTGAGGAAAAGAGGCACTCCAGGTCAGCTTTCAAATCAATTTATTTTGAAGACAATAAAAGGTGATTTGTATCATGATACAAAGGAATGGTGGGAGTTGATATGTTGCACTGCAGAAGAATAGATTTGGATACAGAAGATATAGGATCTTATTCTGGCTCCATTACTAATTCGTTGTGTGGCTGTAGAGCTAGGGTTGGGTCTGGAGCTCACAGACCCCTCAAACCCATTCACAGACTGGGTCACAAACCCTTCACACACCAGGCTGGGTCCCCAGACCTCTCATGCGCCAGGCTTGGTCACCAGACCCCTCACATGCCAGGTCAGCTAGGTAACCAGCAAACAGGTCCTTGGAAGCCATAGGTTGGAGAGCATGGCTGTGTAGGGTGGACACCTGAGGCAGTCAACGCCAGCCAAGTGGTGCCGTGCATGTGCACTAACTCTACCCACACACAGCTTATTTACAAAGAATGTGCTGCACCACCCCCAACTGGACCTAAGGCAAGGGGGCCTGATTAAGTTATTTATTCAAGGGACAATAGGAGATACCTTGACTACCCCGAGGAAATAAAAGAGGCTTTATTTCAGACACTCAACATGAAGCCACCTACTTGAAATGCCAAACAAAACTAATTCACTCAATCTAATAACGAATTTACAATAATACAGAGAAATTCTTTAACATTAGCACTTTAGAAAAAGCACAAGAAGTAGAATTGGCCTTGAGGAAGGGAACGAAGCCCGTCAGATGAAATCCTGTTACCTATCTGACAAACTGCAAGGTCACTGCCTGTGGCATCCAGACATCCATATTCTCAAGGTAGTGCCTCCTGGTAATTCCAGATGGAAATCATTTCTGATTCATTTGAAGGTGGAAGTTGAATTGGAACTTGTTAATGCCTAAGAAGGTAGATTTCATATTTTGAAGGTAAACATATTTTATTAATCTTTCACCCATAGGAACAGCTAAAGAAAATACTCATTTTAGATTTTAATTTTTCTATTTTGCTGAGTGAAAAAGTTTGGCTTTTAATGACATGTGTATTAACTTGACTACTCTGTAGGAACAGAAGCTTGTCACTTGTGTATTTTTCTTAGAACGTGGCATTTGACACTTTAACTTGAAATTTTGTGACATATTATAGCTCTTTTTACATATGTATGGGTTGCTACCCAGTCCAGAATTTTTGCTCATTTTTCTGGAGAGGGAGAAGATGACAAAGTGGACTTTGATAATTTTTGTTTGAAAACTATAGAAGTATAATGAAAACACCAGTAGAGAATGATCAGAAAATGATCCTCTGATTTTCTTACCTTTTAAATTTTTCTCATTTTCCTTCTCTCTCCTAATTTCTGAGAAATTTTTCTCAATTTCAAACTTTTCTACTTCTGCTATCCTATTTTTTATTTTGATTTAAACCCTTCCCCGGAGCGTTCGTTTTCTGTAGTATTCTGCCCTTGTGGACGGAACATCTTCTGCTGAGAACTGCTGGCAGCTTTTTTGTTTGTTTTCTCCTTCCTACATAATCATTATTTCTTCCAAGTTGCTCTTTTCTGTTTGTTTGGTCTTTCGTGTTTGTTGCTTCCATGATTAATTTCTTGTTTAGAATCACATAAAGGCCAAATCCTCACAACCAGAGTCCTTGTTTGCTGTTCATGTAGTTTTTTTTTTTTTTTTTTTTTAGTTCTGTTTAACATTTGATTAAGATTGAGCCTTAAGTTTAAAAACATCCTTAAACATTCTTTAAAATGTCCATTTTAGGGTGTTTGCCAGCTTCCCAGTAAAAATGATGAAAAGGAATACCCACACAGAAGAATCGATGTCAGGTATTACTCAGACTTTGTTGTTGACCAGTTAACTTTTCCCTTCTTATTTCCTTTTCTTCCCTCTCTCTCCATATCTCAGATATGTCTGGAACCCCTTTTTATTCTTAAAGGCCATATGTTCCTGCCAAAAACAATGTTTAGCCTGAAAATATGTAAAGAATAATTACTATCTATAGATTATAATTTATTTTCTCTACATTTGTATCTCACCATGATGCCTTCTACAGCTCAAAAGTAAGAACATGTAATAAGTGATAATGCTTTTCATTTCTCTACTCAGAGAAAAGTATACTGAAACCTAAACAAATTGCAGGGTTGGGGTGATTTGAATGGTTCACCCAGTGATAGTCTCCTCTTCAGATTTTTAGACAACCTAGCTTTATTTTAGGTATTTTGTTCCTTACTGATTTTAGGAGTCCTATATTTGCTAAATTTGTAATGTGTAGTAAGAAATTTATCTACTGTTCTTTTTTTTTAGGTTGATACCCAAAGATCAGTATTACTGTGGTGTTCTCTATTTCACTGGAAGTGATATTTTCAATAAGAACATGAGAGCTCACGCCCTAGAACAGGGCTTCACAATCAATGAATACACCATCCGTCCCTTGGGAGTCACTGGTGAGTGTTTGTGTCTGAGTCAGGGAATCCCTGTCACTGGAGAGAAAGTTATTTTGAAAAATTCACAGATATTTTGCCTTAGCAAATGTAGTTTCTCTAAAAAGCCTTTTGGTAACTGTACCAGTTAATTGTTATTTCTTTATATTATTGGTCTCTAGATAGCAAAAGGGGCTTTGATGCGTGAGGTGCTCTCGGGCCCTCAGTGAAGGCCATTGAGGCAAGGGCGCTTTCTCGTGCTTTTGGAACGGATTAAATCCTTTCTGCCTGTGGTGGTCAGTAAAAAGTCTTAGTGACGCAAAGGGTTGTTTTTGCTTTTTAATGTATCTCCAAGATTTGTGAAGAACTCAGGTATCGTTGCTTTCAATGCCACACAAAACTGGGTAGCTTTGGCCCCATGCCATTAAAGCTTAAAGAAAAAGAATTGCTTAATCTATGTTTTATGGATCTTATTAACATTTCACAAAGTACTGTTCTCTACTAGGAGAATGAATTTTTTGTCCTGAAAGTATAAGGATAAGCTTTCATCCCTAGTAGACCAGGGCAGTGCGTCTCACATTTCCGCATGTACACAAATGGTTTGGCACCCTCACTGATGTGGATTGTAAGTCTGTGGGATTGGAGTAGGGCTCAAGAGTCTGCATGTCTACTAAGCTTCCAGTAATATCAATGCTGCTAGTCCAATGACCACATTTTGAGTTGCAAAGGAACCAATTTGAATATTTTATGTAATACATGATGGCCTCATAATACGTGGATATCCACTAGAGAGGAAAATCATGAATTAGGGTCACTTCAATGGCCCTAGTTGGGATACTCAGGTGCCTTTTTGTAGAACTGATAATATATGTGACAAAGCTCATGTGGGAGGACAGAAGTGGTCAATGTCTTTGTTTTTAGTGGCTTGGTTAACATTTTCTTTTTTTCTGAAAGCGAGTCCTATACAACTCTAAATCCAGAACTTTCTATAACTACATTCCAAAACTGGTTCTTAAAATAAGTTTCTTTTCTCTTTACTTGCAGGAGTTGCTGGAGAACCTCTGCCAGTGGATAGTGAGAAAGATGTCTTTGATTACATACAATGGAAATACCGAGAACCCAAGGATCGCAGTGAATGAGGCCTGTCCTTCCTTGCAAGCACGGCCCGATAGGAGTCTTAATTTATTTCTTAACCTTTGCTATGTAAGGGTTTTTGGTGTTTCTAAATGATTTTTACTTTGTCATGCGTTAGCTTGCATTGTAGTCAATAAAACCTCTTGTACTATTATTGGACGATGTTCTTATTTTCTTAGAAAGTATGTTTAGTTTAAATTTACGTATTATGTTCATGATCACACTTCACTATGCGTTTAGTAGAAATAAGAGATGAGGTGATAGCAAATCTTCGATGGGAATTTTTATTTTCTCATTTTCTGCCCTGTGCTATAAACCATATTACCGACCTACCTTTCCTCTTATTTACAGATTACAAATTTGTCAATTAAGATACACCCAGAGGCCTCTGGGAGATGGTTCAATATTTTTTAGAAACTAGGGAACTATATAAATGACCTACCTTTCCTCTTATTTACAGATTACAAATTTGTCAATTAAGGTACACCCAGAGGCCTCTGGGAGATGGTTCAATATTTTTTAGAAACTAGGGAACTATATAAATTTAACTTTTTTCTTTGGCTCATATTCAATTTTGTAATATATACTTACAACTTATATAGAAGAACAAGTATACGGTTCATCTCTTAAATGAAATTGGTAGCACTGGGTTGTAATCCTTTAGAAAGAGCCTCCTTAGGCAAAACCACTTTTAATATGCACAAAACATGGCCTCTTAGACTCCAGTCACAAACTTCATTATTTGCCTTAGTTTTCCTCCAAGGTAGTTTTGAAGTAAAAATGACCAAAATATATAAATAAAAACACTCCTTGAAAGCCATAGCTTTCAAATATAAAAATTATATAAATATAAAATGTAAAAATTATGAAATGGTAAATAAAGCTATTGAAAACAAAATATGTGAATGCTTTGTAACTGGCAGAGGACTATACAAACATAAAATATTATTACCTTTTGAATCATTTATTAACCAAATTATTTTGTAGAGAAATGTCATTTCTCTTCCAAGAAATGGAAGAAAATAAACAATAGGATTTTTAAAGGAAAAATATAGTATTTGCTGTGATAATTTCTCCTGGTAAGATGCAAGAATTCATTTCCTTTTTTTTTTTTTTTTGTCTTTTTTCGTGACCGGCATCGGATCGCAACCCTCAGCGTCGCGCCCGTACCGGACCGGGGACCGGCAACGGGATCGCAACCCTCGGTGTTGCTCCCGCACCTTGCTCAGCCAGTGAGCGGCCGGTCTGTATGTGGGATCCGAACCCTCGGCGGGAGCACCGCTGCGCTTCCCAAGCAGCGCACTGTAGCAGTGCACCACTGGGCCAGCCCGAATTCATTTACTTTTAACTTCAGATATCACCACTTTTTTTCCCCTAAGATACTGTCAGGTACCAGCCCTTCACCAGAAATTAAAGATTTGTTTGGATATGGATACATTATTTAGCTTAGCTGCAGTAATCAATGTAGTATATGTATATGAAGACATCAAACGGTCCACCTTAAATATATACAATTTCAACTTTTAGAAAAGATTTATTTGAACTGAGTCACTAGATAAGGATTAAATTTTTTGTAATACATCAGTTTTCTGGAGAAACAGACAAAAAGCCAAAGCTGGTTTCCATTCATCACAAGGCAGCATCTAACAATTCTCTAGTTTCAGTCTATTTCTGTTGCCACAAGATTTGATTTTAAGAGATACTTGTACGGAAGTATTTTAAAATTAGTATCTGAGATTCTGCTTGAGTACAAGGAAGATTCTTTATTTTCAAATATTTAGTTTTTTATGTTTTTTGGCACACTCTTAACCGTATGTGTTGTTGATTGCCAGCTGCTTGACTTTGACATGACAGTCCAGGGCCACAGTCACAGCGCTGGAAGATTTCTGGGGCTTGAGCAGTGTCTTTATGCCCCCTCCTAGAGCAGACCTGTCCCTCCAGGAGGACTGGTTTACAAATTTTAGTCCAAAAATGACGAGCACAGCAAAGTCCAAGGCCACAGTCCAAAGTTCTAAGACAGCTTTCTCCCTCTTGTCCTGTAATGATATTAACACGGGCTTTAGTGGTTAATGGCAAAGTGGCAGGGTGGGGGATCGGCATGAGGTCTAGGACTGAGGGCCACGAAGTGGAAACAAATGGCACTCAAGTCTCTGAGAGCTAGGTCTGTGCTAAAAGTAATAATGGAATGGAAATTATTCTAGCCCTACCTAACAGAACTTATTGCTTGTTTTATAAAGTTAAAACATCAAAGAAAGATGGGCTTTCCAGTCTGGCGAAAGGAAATAAGTATCATTCAGCATTGTTTTTTTAATAAATAGGATTTATACTGATATAAAAAGAGACCACTACTTACAAAGGGGCCAGCAAACTTGAAGATAGACAAAAACGGCCAGTTTATCACTTTCAAATATTCTGGCTGTGTTTTGTATTTTAAAAAAAAAAAAAAAAGCTTTATCTTAGTGATTTTGTATTTTGTACAAGCTGAAAAGTTAATGCATCTATGTCTACCTCTATTTTGTATCATGAGGATCTAGAAAGAGAAACTGCCATTTGTTAAATTGTAGGCTGTAGAAATGTGCGTGTGTGTCAAACTGAATTAAACAGTTAAAGGCTTTCTTGCTAGCCAGTCTGTTGTGACAGCTATTCCCCTGTCCTCCTGTCTCACTGAGTACCTACATGGTCCCCACAGCCTCTGCTGGAAAGAGACTGCAGCAGGACGTGCTCCCTGTGTATGTGCGGGGCGGACAGGAATAAAGTCCGTTTCAGCCTCGCCTTCAGAGGCCAGGAGGAGAAATGGTTTTCTTAAATAAAATGTTCTCAGAACGCCGCTATTACCCTTACTGCCTTGTGATCTCTTAATACTTGGCTTCCTCTTGGGTTTGTTCTCCTGAATTGGATGCTCAGTTGTCCCCCTTCTTGTCCGTGCCATCGTGGTCTTTGATCTGTCTGTCCATTATTGGGGTTGCATCTTCCATCATGGTACAAACATCTGAGGGACAACCAGGTGTGACTACAGTTACTAACTACAAGGATAGAACGACAGAGCAGACATGCTAATTACTGTACTGTTACACACTTTAGCAGCACTTCCGCCTTCAGTTTATATATAACTTTCTAGATTTCTGGGACATGCACTAAATGTTTACATGCTCACACATGGCAAAGAAGATAAGTAATTAATGGAATCCAAGTGTTAAACAGAAGAATCTGAGCGATTCCCATTTGAATCTTTCCTTTAAAATCATTACCTTCAAGTCATTGTCAAGAATTACTGCCAGCAAAAACATCATTTTTCTTAATCAAGAAAAAGCAGCTGCATAAATTTACTTCAAGCATGAATCCAGGAAATCGTTACAGTGCCTATCTTGGAACATTCTAGTTTATGAGATTCAGTGGAGCTGTCCTGCAAATCTTGATGGTCGCTCACCGTTCATGCAGAGCATTCCTGGGCAGCACATGGCCTTATGCTGGCATCTCCTCCGTAACCCATGACACGTGGCACAGAATGGTTTCTCATTGCGGGGCTTGAGGCAGAATTTTCTGGTACTGCAGTTCCTGTCAGATAAGCACTGTGAAGCCTGTGAAGGGAAACTGTTGTCACAAGGCTTAGGAGTCCAACAGGGTGGAAAATGACTTCTCCCTCAACGTGGGAGGTGGAGGAAGCCAAATCATGGCAGCACTTTTGAGTGACAAACCTCAGGCTGCATCTTAGTTTTCCAATGGAATTGGTTTTCCTCTCACAAAGGGGAGATCAAATTACCTGTGAAAACACCTAGGCACTGCAAAGGTTATGTGTTTGAAAAATTGTCTTAGTTTTAAAACTCAGAGTTTAATTTTCTCATGCTGTTTGTGAAAATAGGAGAAAATGTTTTCCTATGTATGTCTTTCAGATGATTATGAGATTTTCAATATATATTAACTCTGGAAGTTTATTAAATGTAATGCTGGTGTTTGTGGCATTCCTATTTGATTTTTTACTCTGGTGAATCACCACAATCACCTCACCCATTTGCTCCAGGAGCCCTACCCATGTGAACCCCCCTTTGATTTTTAAGGATGCCTCATTCACACAGAAAAAGATGCCAAAGGTCAAGTTCTCTCATCCGCAGTAGATGCTTTTTCATATTTCCATAAATGTATATTTTACATATATGTATATGTTATATAGAGAATATATAATATGTAATGTATATAATAATATTCATATATTAAAAATGATCCCTAAAACAATTCTGTGACATGCGCTGGTGGCAATGACAATCGCCATGGCATTGTGAGTTTAAATCTGTGTGGCCTTGGTTAAATTCCTCAACATTTCTGAGTCATTTCCTTCACCTATAATTAGAAGGTGTGATACCTACCTTAAGTTGTAAGAAAACTTAAGTCAAATATGCATACAGGGCTTGGCACATGGTAGAGCTTTCTAAATGTTAGTCTCTGCCTTACAAGCAAATT